TATTATTATTATTATTATTATTATTATTATTATTATTATTATTATTATTATTATTATTATTATTATTATTATTATTCTTATTGTTATTATGATAATATGTGACTATACTTGTTATTAAATGTGATTATTTCACGTGAAACAAACGAAAACCAACATGTTTTACATATTAAAAAAAAAAAAAAAAGAAAAAAATATGCAATTTATTTTAACATATTATTTAGATAATTATTTTTTTTTTGCGCCAGAGGCGCTACTACACCCAATACGAATTATTATTATTGTTGTTATTACTTCCCTCCGCATCCTGATCATCATTAGCCCGAAGCCCTAAGGCACGAGTCAAAATAAAAGGTGTCCATCGAAGATTTTCGGATTTTATTCCGGGATAATTCTTCGATTTAACCTTTTCTAAAAAACTCTCGATAAGACGTTTTTTCACAATTATGCGGTATGTTCCGCTTGATTCATCTTTTTCAATCATACCATTGATTTGAAGTGTAGCAACGATATCATTAACTGTCATACTCGTCGAAGAACTTAAATCTAAATTTAAATTATTTGAATTATTAAAATAATTATTAAATTATTTATAAATAAATATTTTAAATAATGAATAGATAATAATAATAATAATAATAATAAATATCTACCTTCAATACTCAAGGTTGACCTTTTCTTTATCAGTTCTCTAAACAATACAATTCGCCAATAGTAACGATAACTAAGTAATCCAAGGTCTGATAAGGGTTTCTCAGGGGAACCCGTTTTGTTCTCTCTTTTAGAAAGTAGATAACCTATGAATTATATATATATATATATATATATATATATATAAACTTTAAAAAAAAAATTATATAGGAAAAAAAAAAGATTGACAAATATATTCAAATCAATGATACTTACTAAATTCAATTAACAAATTCCCATATCCTTTCCTTTGATGAATAGGAAGTGTGAGGATACATGATACATTATAATTCAATGGGGAACGTTTTTCCTAAAATCAAGAAAGTTTTAACTGATTTAATTGATTTAATTTATTATTTAAATTTTAAAAAAAAAAAAAATTGAAAAAAAAATCATATAAAAAATGTTAATTATTATTATAATTATTATTATTATTAAAACCTTGGAAAAATATCCTACGAAATGACACCCAGAATCATTTATTTCTGTCATCACATAGAAAAGAAATGGTTCCACATCGTAATAAAGTGTTTTATGATCAAGAAACATTTTTGCCATAAGACAAAGATTTTGACAATATATCTAAATAATATAATATAATATAATATATGAATAATGTAAGAATAAAAATACATTAAATATATTTTTTAGCAGGTGAACAAAATATACACAAAAATATTTTAAATCGATATTGCGAATTTAAATAAAATTTAAACCTTGTTTTTCCGACCATCTACTTCAAAAATAGAGATAGGTCCATCTCTATAAATTTCATCACCAGGCGGATGCCGCATTGGACATTTCATCTATTTTTTTTTTTAAAAAAAAAAATAAATAAATAAATAAAAAATCAATATTGTTAAATATATAATCAATGTATGTTATTTTATTATTGTTGCCACAATAACAAACCTTGTGTCGATCGGCGATATATTCACTTTTCATATACTTCAAACAAAATTCACAAATGTGTAACATGGGGTTCACACTATATTCTTCTGGGTAAGGAGAAACGAACCAAGTATCCATTTCCCAATCACCAAATCGAATCGTCCGTATTTTAGGTGTAGCATCGGCAAATACTTGAGGTTGATCATCAATTTCCAAAGTTATTTCTTTTTTCGGCTTCGGTGACATTGCCTACAGATTATGTAAAATATGTAAAAAATATGTAGAATTATATGTAAAATATGTAAAATATATGTATAATTAAATAATCCTTAATTCGAGAACCCCACTCATCAAATTCGATATTCCAAGAATGCATTTCGTATTTGTGTATATATTATATTATATAAATATATATATATTATTATATGATCGTTATGATATTAACATACCGATTCTGCTTGAATCTTTGCATATTCAAACATTACTTTGTCCTTTTGGTCAGGTCGTGTTTTCGTTGTATCAGCTTCTTCAGGTGTTAATTTACCACAGAAGAGGTCAAACATATTTGATTTTGACTTTAAATCAATTTCAACATCTGAAAACTGTTCATCATCTGTAAATCTTCCATTGCGTCGATCTCCTTTGAATGTATTATCATTATCTGAAAGTGAATCTTCTAAACTTTCGACTTCGTTTAATAATCTTTTTCGATTTTTTTTTAGGTTTCCTTCTTTATTATTATTATTATTATTATTCGATTTTTTTCTGTTAGGACGAGATTTAATATCATTATTATTATTATTATTATTATTATTATTATTATTATTATTATTATTGGTATTGTTCGAATCTTTAGTATTACGCCTTTTAATCTTCACTCGTGTGGGTGTTGTTAATGATGTATCAGCAGTTGAACCACGAATCTTGTCAGCTGAATTATTATTATTACGTGTTTGGTTGACGTAATCTTCATCGTCAGAATGAGAAATCTTGGCACCACGTCGTCGTTTTGATTTTGATCGGGTGTCAACGGTTCTTGATTGAGTTGAAATTTCAGTTTGATCTACTTGTGAATTATTATTTGATATCTCAAGGATCGATGAAAGATCTTTGTCAGAATCATGTTCATCAATAACCGGTTTTACGGTTCTTGGTCTTCCTCTTGATGATGAATTCCTTCTTCCCCTTGATGAAGTGGAATTTCTTCGTTGTGCAGGTGTCACACTATTTTTCCTTTTTTTCTGACCTGGCATACTATTTCGCCTTGGTCTTGTAGAAGTAGTGGTTGAATCCATTGTTTTCGGTGTTGAAAAATCATCATCACCTTCAATGGTATTTGGTGTCGCAACGTTATTTAATTCATCCACGGGATCTTCATTATTAATAATATTATTACGATGATTTTCTATAGTTGAAATTTCTTTTCGGTCAGAAATTTTGGTATTCTTGTTTTTCAATTTATTGGAGGTGGTTTCATTCTTACCAACTTCTTTGTTGGTAGTAGTAGTAGATTGTTCGTTCTTTTTCGGAGTTACCTCCTTATTATTATTATTATTATTATTTTTATTTTTTTTATTATTATTATTTTTTTTAGGAAAAGAGTCAGAATCATCTAAATTCAACAAAGAATTCTCAAGAAAAATATTATTCCGATTTGGACGAATAGAATTTGAAGCATTCTTGGGAGTGGGTTTTGTTCTTTTAATGTTTTTTTTACTTACCAAAGCATTATTATTATTCTTCTTCTTATTATTACCATTTGACAAATTTATTTTACTCAAATTCGAATCCTCATTTTCAACACTTTCGTCTCGTTTAATAACTTTATTTATTTTAACCTTTTTTCGTGCAGAATTTTTTGTCGTAGATCGATCCATATTCTGTTGATTATTGGTACCATTGGTAACATTATCCGTATTTAAAGTTTCTTCATCGTTTAAATTTGAAGTTTCTTCAACTTCATTTGACCCAGATTGATCCACTTCTTTATTTATTTCAATATCTGAAAGTTCGTCCCTTTTTCTTTTCAATTTTTTTGAACCAACTTTTTTTGTGGTAGATATTATTGTTATAGGACGAATCTTTCTGTATTTAGGCCTAGAATTAAGAGATGTTTTTGAATCCCCTCCCTCATTCTTGTCATTATTGCCATTTTTGTCATTTTTGTCATTATTTTCATTATTGTCATCATTGTGAGAGTTGTTCATATCGAAAGAAGTATTAATAATATTAGTAGGTGGTATTGAAAGTATTAGTAGTGAAAATGGGTTGTGCGTTTGGCAAAGTTTTTCGCGGAGACTGATAAATAATATATTATCTAAATTGTCACACTCTCTCGCAAGCCACAACTGAATGATTTGGGGATAGAAAGTAAACAATACCCTTTTTTTTTTACATATATTTTATAATGTGTAGATCATCCAGATTTTAGCAAGCTACGAAAAAAAAAACCTTAAAAGCTGGTTTACATTTTATTAGTAGATTCCAATTGGTCAAAAAAAAAAAAATAGACTCCAACTCCTTTTCTCCCGAATAGTCAGAAGATACCGTGGTTCCAGTATCAACGAAATTTGTCACTGCATCACATCCATGAAAAACAACGGATGATAATCAGCTGAAGCGATATTTATTTGATAGTTTTTTTGTCATTTGGAAAAAAGAGTTATGACAGAGGAATCAAATTTATTAACAAGGCGTGGACGTGGTCGACCTCGAGGGGTGAGGGGACTAACTCGAGGTTTTCCAAGTGCCACGACTGCCGCGAATTTGCGTGGTACTCGAAGAGGAGGAAGTCAAGGAAAAATAGATTTAGCAGTAAATGCCGGAAATTCTTCAATTTCAACAGAAATAAGAGGAGGAGGAAAAAGCAATAGTAGTGTTAGAGAGCTTTCACCTGATAGATTGACACTTTCACCTGATAGATTACCACCACCTGGAAGATTGGCTTCAGTAAGGACGGCTCCAACTGGACATTATTTTTTACCAACTTCTTCAAGGGTAACATTACGTGGTACCCAAAGAATGAATTTCGTGCCGACTGTACCTTTAGCTCATAGACGCCCACAACCGTGAGTTTTTATATATATACATTTTTTTTTTTCGTCAACATTATTATGAATTTAAGCATTTGATTTTTAACACATTGATCTAACATTTCAATCAATTTGGAAAAAAAAATTGTTTAAAAAAAAAAGTACAATAACTTCAGATCCAATAACTCCAGATTTTTTCGATAATTTGGATAATGATAATAATTCTTTCGGGGTAGATGGCAATTTAATAATAATAATAATAATATTTCATTGATGATTTAACAAAAGTATGTCAAAAATAATTTAAAAATAATAGAATTTTCATAATAGGTCGATAGTCTCGGTCATGATATTTCAACACGAGGCAGAGGTTCCTGGAATTTTATATGATATAAAAATTATTCAAATTATTTTTTGACTGATCTAATCAATCTTTTTTCCTTTTTTCTTTGGTGGATTATATATATATCTATTTTGATATTTTTTAGCAAATACTCGTGGACGTGGAAGATTTACTCCTGAATTGGCTGCTTCGGGACCATTCGCTTACGGATCACTTTCTAATTTTACGCCATGTAAGTCAAACATGTTTTTATAAAAAATTGTTAATAACAATAATAATAATAATAATAATAAAAATAATTTAAATACCTTAATTAATGAATATTTATGTATTCTTAATACATAATATAATTACCACACGACAGCTGGATCAATGATTAATCGTAATGACGCGAATCAACCAATTGTCGAAGAACGAAAAAATAGATCCGATTTAGCTTCAGATTTTGAATCATTCCGTGATGATCCATGGGCTCCAGATATGATTTATACTTATGATGAAAAAGAAGATCGCATTTTAGAAAGCGGTAAATATTAAAAATTATTCTATTAGAAATTCCTCATCGATTTTTTATCGATTAACTTGATTTATTTTATTTTATTTTAAAAAAAATAGATAACGATAATTATGTTGGTCAAGATGGTTCTTTACTTGACGGCTGGAGAGGAAAACGTGATCAACCTATAAATTTCGACGAGATAGTATGTAATCTAAATTTTTAAAATTTCTTATGAGACAAAAATAATAATAATTAATAATAATATTATTATTATTTATAGGACGAACGACAACTTTTATGTTTCCAATTACCTATATCCCTACCTAAATTCGAATCATCTAAACATATGTCATCATCACAACCAACTACTAAAGAAGTGAGTACAGAAAACAAACCCAAAAGCAAGATAACGGAGAAAATCAAACCCACGGTCGCTGCACTAAAGGGTAAAGAAAAAGAAATGGATGTTGATGAGGATACCGAGAAGATTAATAAGTTAGAAGGACAAATAGGACGATTGGTTATTCGTAGGTCGGGTAAAGTTCAAATGTTAATGGGTGAATTAGTTTTTGATGTAAGTATTCAATTTAAATAAATAAATATTCATTTTTTGATATATATATATATATATATATATATATTAATGTAATGTATCCTTTATTATATTATGTAAAATTATGATAATTAATTTTAAACGTCGTTTTAACTCTCTATACATAAAAGGTTTCCCGAGGATTAGATCGATCATTTTTGGAGAATGCAATGGTGGTTGATCCGGATGTCACAAATGTATATAATTTCGGACCGATAGAAAGTCATTTGGTGGTGAAACCTGATATTTCAAGTGTATTAGGTGGTTAGGTGAATATTATTTTATTATATTTTATTATATTTTATTATATTTAATTATTTCTTATTTATTGTGATGGCGACACACTGTTCTTGAATGGATTTCTTTCGAGTTGGGTAGTAGATTTTATCTTAGCCAATTTTTATTCTTTTTAAATAACTTTATATTCAAATGTCATTTTTATTAATATATATATTATTTACTGCATATTGTTTAAATTTATTAACACTTTATTATATTTATTAAAATTTATATCAGATTATCATTATTTGAACATCCAGTTGTATCAACACAGTTTTCTCGTTCTCGTTATTTATTAAGGAAAATTTATAGAGAATCAATCAATCCGGAATAGACAATTTGTGGGGTGGATCCAAAAAAAAAATTTTTTTCAATTTTTCTTTGCATATAATATATATTGAAATATATATTGGATTACATCCATTCCTAACGAATCTTTAATCAATCAAAATTACTTCAGGTTAGAAGGTTACACGAATAATCTCGATAAGATGGTAATTTATGGTGATGATATTCATCATCAAGGAAAAAATCTTGGGGATATTTAGTCACTTAGTCACATGATTTTTCAAATAATGACACATGAAAATCAATTTGTGTTGGGGTTCTCATATGAAAAAATCCCCACAAAAACAAAAATAATATACATAATCCATTTTAACCTATTTCATCAATTTTATTAGCATGTGACATTATTTGGGATTTCAAAAGAAACAATTTATTTATATATAAATAATAAAAATAAGAAAAAATAAATAAATAATAATAATAATAATAATAAAAATAATAGTAATAAAAATAATAGTAATAAAAATAATAGTAATAAAAATAATAGTAATAAAATAATAGTAATAAAAATAATAGTAATGAATCTGATTCCACGCGACCTATAACGTTAATACAGTTTATACTAAAAGTAGAGTAACGTAACCGTACCCATTTTTGACATTTATGGGGGGTAATCCATATTTAGATTTTTGAGCGGTAACACAAACTTCGCTACTTTTTAACTCGCGCTTATATATATCAATATAAATCATTTAGACTTTTTTAAAGTTTTTTTTATCCGGCCGGTTATTATTTTGTTTTATTGAAAAGGTTTTTAAAAATATCATAATTAAAACTAAATTTTTCGTTAACCAATAACAAAAAAAAAAAGATAACTAGATTAGAAACGTATATATATATATCTCTCTATCTATAAAACTATATTAAGAGAATTATGTCCATCTTCGCGGATTCGGATTATATTGGAGAAGAAGGCCTCAAGAACTTAAGACATTACAAATATGCGGCCATCGATAAATCACCGATTTCGAACTATATTTTGAAACCATATTGGAATTGGGCAATTGGATTATTTCCTATGTGGATGGCGTAAGTTCTTTCTTTCATCATAAATAATTTTTTGATGTTGATCTTATATTTTATATTTTATTATATTTTATTTATTTGATATTTTTGATATTTTTTTATTTATTATTATTTTTTTTTAGACCAAATTTAATAACATTATCTGGATTAAGTTTTGTTTTTCTGAATGTGATATGTATTATAATTTGGATCAATGATCTCGTAGGTCCTGGTCCACGATGGCTTTATTGGACGTAAGCATCCATTCTTTTCTAGTTCATTAGTAGTAAATAAGCCATCTGGCCCAAGACGTGTAAATTCATATAAGTACACTTTACTTTTTATATTATTTGAGAAACACAAATTAAATGATCTTCCTTGTGAACAAAAAAAAAAAAAAAACAAAGTTTTCCAATATGTTTGTGGCTATATTCAACATTCGATAATGTGGATGGCAAACAAGCGCGAAGAACAGGAACTTCATCTCCTCTAGGTGAACTTTTTGACCACGGATGTGATGCATTAAATTGCACTTTCAGTTCAATTGTTTTGGCAGCTTCCATGGGATTAGGTCATTCAGAATACGCGATGGCTCTATTACCTTTAATGATTATTCCATTTTATTTATCCACCTGGGAAGAATATCACACTGGTATCTTATATTTGGGATATTGTAATGGACCAACAGAAGGTGTTCTCTTAGGATGTCTGTTACTGACGATATCGGCTATTACAGGTAAATCAATTTTTAAAAATTGTTTTTTTTTCCATTTCTTTTCAATTTTATTTTATTTTATTTATTTTATTTTAGGACCTTTAATATGGACAAAGGATTTACGAGATTTAACTGATAATATCCCCGGATTTATTCCAATGGGATGGACTGTCGTAGATATTTTACTTGCATCTGTGTATATCATGGTACTTTTACTTCATTGTCCTCCTAGGTAAAATAATAATAATAATAATAATAATAATAATAATAATAAATATTTTAATTATTTGATTTATTATTTCATATTATTATATTTATTTTTATATATATATATATTATTTATTATTTATATCCATTATTAATATTATTCTATATATATATATATTTAAAAAAAATAGTTTATATAACGTATATAAATCCTGTAAACGATCAAAGAAATCATATTCCGAAGCACTTTCACAACTTATTTCTATTACGATATACTCTTTTTCTACCTATTTATGGCTTTCATCACCTAATTCTTACATTTTTAGAGATAAACATTTTATACTTTTTGCCATGACCATTGGGATTGTATTTGGAAGAATGGCCACTAAAATTATTTTAGCACATCTGACCAAAATGCCATTTCCTAAGTATACCGTACTTTTAATTCCTTTGGTTTTGGGGGCGGTATTAACAAACATACCAAGAGTTTTTAAAACGTAATTATATCATATATCATATTATATATTATATCATATATATTTTATATATATATATATATATATATTTCGGATAATTTATTCATATTTCCTAATGGATAAATTGGATAATATATACATTCAATACTAACAATTTTCCATTTGTCACTTTTAGTAAAGAAATTTTAACTCCCGAATTCGAACATTATTATTTATGGGCCTATTTCATTTTCACTGCGGTAGCTTATTTACATTGGGCCTTTCTCGTTATCGACAGATTCTGTGCTTATCTCAAAATTAAATGCTTCCGTATTCCACATCATTCATCAGGTCCGAAAAAAGATTAATTAATTGTATTATGATAATTATTTTTTATTTTTATTTATTTTATTCACGTTTTCCCTTTCCCTTTCCTTGATTTTTTTTTCCGTATTTTTATTTTTAATTTTTTTTTTGAGATGTTTTTTTGTTTTTTTTTTCAAACAAATAATAATATTATTATTACTTTCACTATTAATATAATTATATAAATATATATATATATATATATATATATATTTTATCACATAAAACGATTTTTTTTTCTCATTGATCTGTGTATATTTCTTTGATGTCTTTATTAATCTTTAATTATTTTTTAGGCGAAGAAGCAGCTCGTCTCCTACATACTACTAATCAATGATCAAAAAAGAACAAATGATAACCTCTGGTGAATCCTTTAAGCTATCTCAAAATGACTTTTCTTTAATAAAAAAAGACGTGAATCTTACTATTAGAAATAATAATAGAAATAAAAAATATAACTAATTTTTTTTTATTATTATAAGTTTTTTTTTTTTAATTTGTAAAATAATCTATTAGAAAACTTCTCTGATCAGGATTATTAAATTTATTATTTTAAAATTTATTTATTATTTATTATTTATTATTTATTACTTTAAATTTATTTATTTATTATCATTTTATCTTAAATTTTAAATTTATTTATTTATTTGTTATTATTTATTTTATTTCCTTTTTACAATCAATCATAATAGACAAATTTGATTTGTTTTATTATAATACTATATCTAGAAATTAAAAATTAATTATGATAATCGGAACACATGATGTGATCTGTGTGATTTACAATAATAAAAAGGCTAAAGTATCGTTTTTGAGACACTCATGGTTATTTTTTTTGATACATCAAATACGAGTGACAAAATGGTCATTTTTTTGATATTTTTTTAATGTTTTATTTATAGATGCATCAAAAAAAATAATATTTTGTCACATGAAATTTGATATATCAAAAAATAACCATAAATATATCAAAAACAATACCTTTGCAATAAAAAGGGGAATCTTAACCTATCCTATGTTCTCACATGTCATTATGTTAAATGACATTGGCTAGATCAGGGGCGGTGTATTTATCACCATGCATCACACCTTTCGAATATCGATTTTTATTAAATATCCTGATGCGAAAACCATATTTGTCACTCGATATTTGTCACCTAGAATATGTCACATGAATCTTCGCATGAACCAATAAAATTCGAAGGGATCTAAGATTACAAAATTAAAACGAACTTTCCTACATCGCATTTTTTTTTTTGATCAACTTATTAAAGACAGGAAACCTTTTCAACCTGGAAAATATTTTACCGTAAACTACATTCCTAACACGACTACTGACGAGTGCTAACGAAGCCTTGAATAAAGACTTTCACATATGTCTTGATATGATGAAAAGTCACACACGTTTGACAAGTTTTTGGGCTTAATTATAACAGGTCAGTTTCTTAAATATTTGGGAATGAGAACTGGAAGCATTCCGTGGCCATGGCACAGCTTTGCCGATGCTGTGAACGTCCTTCACATGTTACCAAGCTTTGCATTTTGAGAGTTGAGTATATGGTATTCGGTGGACTTTTGAGTGGTATAAACTTAGTTTCAATACCCTTTGTCCTTTCCTGGTTGCCATATATGTCGTCCGACTTAGTAATTATACTAACTGAAAATTTTTTGTTTATCATATCATATAGAAAAAGAGAAATGAGAATACAATAGTAGATGACAAGTATTCAATACTATCATAACTGTTATCTCTCAGCTTCAAATCAAAATACAAAATCTGTATTGTTATCACTTGCTTGTACAATTTGAAAATAATCAAGATCAAAGGTAAGAATTTTTTTTTTTTTTTTATTTTATAAGTGTATTATTTTATTTAATTATTATAAATATAGAAAATTTACCTTGAAAGAAGCTATTTATTTTATTGCCAAAGCTTGAAAAGATGTTAGTAATATAAAGAATTGTTGAAGAATTACTAATATTATGCCTGAAATATATAAATTAGAAATTAGTGAACAAGGAGAAAATAAGTTAGAAAATGATATCAATGATACTACTGTACTAATTAATAATCTAATCTAGAGCCCAACAATTAGCACATAATATATTAATATATCAATAATGATCAATAAGTTACAACTGAAGATGCATTAACAGATTAAAATGGTAATTAATAAGTTTTGTGACAATAATGATAAAATAGATGATGATGAGGAATTACCACACTTCCAATAACTATTAATGAGACTGTTAAATCATTAAAAAAAATTATAAGATATCAAGAAAGTCTAGAAGTTGAAAAGGGATTTGATAAAAATAAACTAATAATACTATGAAAAGAGCTCAAAAAATGGCATTATGAAATAGAAAAAAATAAAAAACAATCTTCACTTATTCCTTTTTTTTTAGTCACGTTAATAAATCCTATATATTTTAAATTTTAATTTTTTTTTCTTTATATTTTTATAACAATAATAATAATCTTAATACATTAATAAATTATTTATAATAAAAATCATCATTGCCACCTTCAGATATTGAGGGTGCACGAATTTCACATGGGATGTGCATGGGATTTCAAAGTGTTGCAAGTGTCATAGGAGATGACAGTAAGATGACAGTGTAACAGAATGAGTGTGTTACCATCTAGATAACAGATTTCTCATCCTTATATATTGTCTTTCATCTTATATGTCATCTTTAAAAATAGAAAAGGATGTGTTTAGACGTAACAACAAAAGATAAAGGAAAACAAGTTCGAAAGTATATAAAATAAACTGGTAATTTAGAATGTGAGTGGAATTGGTTCAATTTTTGAAATTTCTATAATTTTTAATTTTCTTTTGGTATATTTCGAATAATTACAAAAATCTTTTATCTAAATTGTAATAAAATAATAATAATCTTTTGGTATATTTTTGTAATAAAAATTAAATAATAAAAATAGAAATGTATTGTTTAAATTTAGCAACAGAGATAAGACATGCTGATACTACCTGTTGGAAGAGTGAGGGGACAAGTACAACAAGTACTTGGGTTTAGCCTAGTAGTTCACTGGTTGAAAATTGATAAAACATATACATATCGGACATCTGATATGTGTATGTTTTATCAATTTTTGACCAGTGGTTATCAGTAAGTTTTGAAAGTATGGAAAGACAAATAATAATAAAGTAACTAATTTTCTATACTATAGAACAATAAAGGTAAAGAAAGAAGATAAAATAAAGAAGGAACAAGTTAAAGGAAAGATAATAAATATAGAAAAGAGAAAATATGACAAATTCTAATCTAAAGACAATAAGAAAAAAAATGAAATAGTTTCACTAGGACTTTGTAAGGATTTAAAGAATAGATGAGTTCAAAGAATGAAGAAAGTAAATTTTAGCTAAGTCACGTGACAGTTTGAATGAAGAATTAAAGATCAATAGTTTATTTTAAGACACTGGATTATATAATATAAACTTTATTTATAATTTATAAACAAATGCAAGGAAAGAAATAAACATGTGTATAACTTATTTATAGACAAGATAAAGATTTTATTAAGAAAAAAGAGAAAATACAAAAAAAAATAAAGAAAATAAAGAAATCTATCCTAAGTTCACTCAAAAACTATCTAAAGAATTAATCAAAATTCAATAATTGCTAATTAATTATTTCATTAACTAATTGATTACATAAAGAAGAAAAATTAAAATTACTTTTATAGATATTTTAATTCTATTCTAAAAATATAAATTAATCTATCTATTGATTATATGATAAAAGAAGAAAAAAGAAAGGAAAAGAAAGAAAATAATAAAATAGACTCAATTCCAATCTTGCTTAGCTTCTTGGCTACTGTGGAGGTGGTGGCAGTTCAAAATGTTTGCATCTTCACCTTGATGAGTGGTCTTTCACTAGGAAGAGTAGTCACCATTTAAGTAAAACAGTGATTTCTGCAGTAATCTGCAGTAGACTGCAGTATCCGCAGTCTACAGTATATCAGAAATCACATGGTACGTGACAGGCGCAGCTGAAAGAATTTATAAAAATAGGTAGAGAAAGAGAATAAAGGATCAAGATTTTTAGGACAAATTTGAAATAGAGAAGATGGTAAAGAGGATGAAAATAAAGTAGGTAATACAAGGCAAGTGGATAAATGAAATTAAGTGGTAATAAGTATTGATAAGTATACATGCTATCCAAATCTCAAATTATTTTGACATTTTGACTGCCAAAATTCAGTTTTTATAGTATTTGAAATTTGGGATTTGGCATAATTTGAGATTTGAAATTTTGACAATTGATAATTTGAAATTAACAATTTGAGATTTGGAATTTGAGATTTAGTATTTTGAATTTGAACAGTACTTATATTGATAAGTAATATCAAGAAAATAGAAAAATGAGTAAAAAAGGAGGTGATGATATTATAGAATGAAAATATCATGATAATGTAATATTAAAACACCTGCAATAATAATCTTTAAAATAATATTTAGAATTTAATTAATGAATATTAGTTCATGTAACAAATAATAACAATTTAATAATTTCTTTTAATAAATATTTATAGTCTGTAACATATATTAATTAGTCGCGAAATAGTAGTACAAGATCACATATTCACATGATATTTAGTTTTACAAACATAACTATCAATTTATAATATTAATTATTATTATTTAACATTATTTAACAATAATTATTAACAAATAGTATTAATTAGTATTAGATATATTAGAAAAATAATATAAGAAATAATAACCAATAACAGTAGTGCACAGTAAGGTACAATACACTGGTCGAAAATTGATAAAACATACACATATCGGGTACCCGATATGTGCATGGTGTTTCCCTAATATCGAGCATATATCGGGTACCCGATATGTGTAGAAAATATTTTTTTACACTTATCGAATACCTGATATATATATAAAATATTTTCTACACATATCGGGTACCCAATATATGCTCGATATTAGGGAAACACCATGCACATATCGGGTACCCGATATGTGTATGTTTTATCAATTTTTGACCAGTAATAGGCACAGTAATGGCACAGTAATGAAGATCATTAGATTTAGATATAAAAAGAAATTAAAATTACCTTGCCCCTCTTTTATAATTTTAAATTTTGATAATTTGTAACTTATTTGAAATTGATAAATTTAATTTTATAATTTGTAACTCCAAGATAAACACTTGTAAAAATTAATCTGCAATTGAATTAATAAAATAATAAATATTGGAAGTATTAAATAAAACTTATATAAAATGATTAAATATGTAGTTAACAAAGGAATAATAGATATTATGGAATTAAACACTTGATTGTATAATTGC